TTTTTTTTTTCATTTAAAACAAAACAAAAGGAAGTACCTAACTGTGCAGGACTCAATAAATTGTTTTTATTAGATCCAAAGTCCTTGTAAAAGGAAGACGGAAAGGGAACAGGAAGACCCCATTTCCCTGCTTAGGACTCCTCACTCTCTGATCTCTTTCTCCCCTGGCAAACCAAGCCTATTCATTCAGAAGGCTTGGTCTCTTTATCATTATTATTATTGTCTGTATTTTATTGGGTGCCTATGTGTCAGGCATCATGCTCATCCCTTTAGGTTTGTCTTCTCAAAACAGAAGCAAACCCACCGTCTCTTTCAAGGGCTGACTTAGATGAAACGTGATTTATTTCTCAAAAGGAAAACCCACAGTTCAAATGTGCTAAGTGGTTGCACCTGCTGCAAAATACTCTCTTTCTTTGACCCAACTTTGCCTGAGGTGTATATTACGTTAGCACAGTATCGCCCCTAAAACCATGTACATCCATCCTCACAGAAAGGCTCAGAACATGGTTAAAGGAATCGTTAGAAAAATCATCAGGCGGGAAGCTAGAGAGGCCAGTGGCTCCTAGTGGTCCTATCTTCTCGCTGTTCTGTAGAAAGAAAAGGATGAAGATTCTTGTGTAACTAGCGTAACGTTGTTATTGGTATGCCATCCCCTCTTCTGTCTCCTCCCGCCCTTTCAAGGCACGTGTCCTCATTTGATTTGGATTCTGAGGATCAGCACTTTACACCACTGACCTACTTCTCTGACCCCTTTGATGCTGACTTCGCAGAGGCCGACGAATGCAGAGCAGAGCAAAGCATTTTTATTGCTTTCCGCACACGCAAACTGGAAGCAAACTTGGTTGGGTCAGCCCTGTAGACAGTGGGTTTGGTCCTAGGAGAGAGAACACTATGGAATTGCTCCTTGAAGCTCTTCCAGAGTCCCTGCAGGGCTCCGAGAGGAGTCATTAAAATTCTGGTCTCGTATGTCTTCTTCCCCAAGATCACAGCTAAGCCAACGCCATAGTTTTCTTTGCTGGTGAAAAACATTCACACCAGATCTTCACAGCTTCACATTTAGATCAGTGTCCTTTCTCTTGTTTCTTCTCATTTCCTGTTTATTTTTTCGTTCTTGTCCTTGCCTCCGGTAACTCCCATTGCTTGCTGGTGTGGTTTTATTTTTCTATATAGCTACCTTTAGTGTTCGTGTATGCTTAGTGTTAGACAAAGTCGGTTGGTCTGCATGGGGACCCAGAGATGCCATCTTTACATTGTCTATCGGGCACAAACGCCCTGACTTCGGTTGGGAGAGCAGATCATGCACTTAATGCGGAGAAAGTTGATGGTGTATTCATATGCTTTATCTTAGCAGTCCCTTGATATGTGGCTTATAAGGAAACCAGGAGAAAAACAAGCTTTTTGCTTATTTCTAAAGGCAGAAGGATATTTGTTTCTTTTCTGTGTTTTTTGTTTGTTAGTTGGTTGCTTTTTGGTATCAGGTTTAAACCCAGATTTTCCCACTCTATTTTTTAAGACAGTTTTGCTAAGTTAGCCAAGCTGGCTTTGAACTCAGTCTTTAGCCCTGACAAGACGTCAATTTTCAATCCTCCTGCCACAGTTTCCCAAGTATCCAAGACTACAGACTCACACCAGTAGGGCTGGATAAAATAGTTTATCATAAATATATCACACGAAGGAAAAGCATCTAGTGCCATAAAATATTATACTATCATCGAAACAATAGCAGTCATGACCATAAAGGAAAAAAACAACAAAGAATAAATCAGTCTTATTTAATGATGTTACCTTGATTTTTGGATCAGTGTGGAGGTATGGTTTAGAATATAGTTTTTTTTCCCCTGAACATATTTTACATTGCCTATAGCTCACTGCATTTTTCCAGGGTATCATTATATCAAAATATCTAATAAAATTAAAGTTCTTTTATTTTAAGGGTCCTGGACTTATTGCTGCGTTATGGGGTATCTTCATTTTCAAGGAAATACAGGTAAGGATAAGGAATTGATCTCTATCCCCAGATGTCGGTCTCCTCTAGGAAGCTGAGAACTTTGGGTGGACTCTTAAATGCAAAGGGAAAATGGACCCCCTGAGAACATCGTTCTTCTGCTGAGAGATAGCATGGGGTTTAACAAAGTGCAGAGAGAGTTGGGCCTGCAGCACTAATAACTGAAACCTCCATCTTCTAACTTAATTGGATCAACTTACAGCTTCTAATTCACCAAGAACATCTGGGGAGGCGTTGACTATAGCCATTCTTTAGACACAGTTAATGAGCGCCTGTTCTGAACTGGTACTGGTAGCTAGGTTAGGGTTGAAGACTTCCAAAGATTAAGACAAAGATTTTTTGAGGACCCAAAGTGTTAATGTCAGATTCACATCCATGGGAGTGTGTGTGTGTGTGTTACAGAAGCTCACCCCCATCTGGCAGCTCTCGGGCGTTGCACTTCATTTGTAGAGAATTAGATGCAGTCTCTAAGGAGGCTCCCAGCAAGGCAGACAACTTTCCTAGCCCAGACCAAGTTTACAAAGCTCTGATCCAAGGCAAATTCATGAGCTCTCGCCTGATTCTTTATTAAATTTCAAAAAGAGTGTGTATAATTTTGGTCTTGGAATTACATGTTAAGGGTCTTTACTCTTTTTAGGAACAGTTTTTAATTACTTTTTATTTATGTGTGTATATGTGTGTGTCAGTGTGTGGGTATGTGTGTGTGTCAGTGTGTGGGTATGTGTGTGTGAGCGCAGGTATTTGCAGAGGCCAGAGAGGGTTCTGGATCCCCTGGAGCTAGAGTTCAGGCAGTTGCAGGCTGCCTCGGGTGGGTGCTGGGAATCAAACTCCAGTTCTCTGGAGGAGCAGCAAGACCTCTTAGCCACTGGGCCGTGTCTCCATCCCAAGTGTGATTAATGTTGATGAGAGCTGTGAGTTTGGAAGCACGCCTATCTTAGCTATGTCCAAATGTCTCCATTCTGGGTACTGTTTCCGTTGTGCCTGGGTCTGCTGCACGAATTTACCTCTGACCTCTGAATCCGTCAGAACTGACGCCCAGTAACCCTAAGGAAATGTCAGGGAAAGATGGCAGATGAGACCAGGAAAACTCGGTTTACAGAGGGTCCTGCTATGTGGCCAGGAGAGACAGTCTCATGGACAACTGTTACCTTGCCCTCTTCTGCTGGACTCTGACTCACAGGGCAGCCACACTAAGGCACTCTCTCCCAGTCCTCCCTCAAAGTAGACCTAGCCAAACGGCAGTGAAGGTGGAACTCAGCATCTTTCCAGGCTCAAACAGGTCTCCCCATGTGGCCCACTGCTGTGGTCCCCAACTTTTCCAGGCTCAAACAGGTCTCCCCGTGTGACCCACTGCTGCAGTCCCCAATTCGTTCATGCTCCACTGATTTCTTGACCAGGTACTCCTGACAGAGACATTCAGAAATGGAGCTCTCTGCTCTGAGGAGCACCCATGAGCCCCACCTAACCTTTGTAAACTCGCTCCCCACAATAAGTCAGTCGACTCTCTTCAGAGGCACAGCATCCCATTTCCAGTCTTCCTCTAAGTTTCCACCCTCGCTGAACTAATTGTAGGCTATATGCAGCCAAGCCCAGCAATCAGCCTTATGGTTAGAGGAAGGTCACCCGTGCTTTCCCTGCAGATGTGAAGCAGGCTGCGTCCCTCCGTCCCTGTCTCTTGCATCCCCGTGGTCCTCTCAATCCCTGTGTCCACTACATGACTATAACTGAAACATTGTCACTTCTTTTTTTTCTCTTTCTTTGTATCTATTCTGTGTCTTTTACATTATGTATCTTGATCCCATTCATTTCCCCATCCATCCCCTGCCCCTGCACACCCCCCAAATAAAACAAAATTAGAGAGAAGAAAGAGAAAAGAAAAATGGGGGAATATTCAAACTCTTATCGTGGGAGCTGCGGTGTGTCACAGTGAGTCCCGCAGCAAACCCCTTTGTCTGTGAATCTTTTCTTGCAAGTGTTCATTGCAAAGGCTCATTTTTCTGGTTTCTGGTTTCTCTGACACTGTCCATACTGAGTCCAAAACCATCCTCACTTCTAAGGGTCTGTTGTAGCACCCTATGCTTTCCCTACTAGATGGTCTAAAACTCGGAAAGGGAGACTAGTTCTGTGGGTAACGTGCTTAATTTGAAGCATGGAAGACCCAAGTTCGATCCCAGAATCTAGACAGAAATAAACGTAATGGTGTGCTGGTGTACACTTCTCATCCCTGCACTGGAGAGGCAATGAGAGGAGCTCCTGGGACTCTGGCTACCCAGCCCTGTCTAGGCGACCAAGGCCACTAAGGTGTCCTGTGTATCTAAAGTTCATGAGGCCTTATTCTTGTTTTCCTTTAGAGTGTTCAGATCTTGCCTTACCGTGTACTGAGTCTGTCTGTACAGAGAGGTGGCCATCATTAAGAAGGAAGAGCCAAGACAAAGAGGGCGCTGGGAACCATTCTATGTGAAAAATGGCTGAAGGGGGCTCAGATATTGACCAGGAGAAGATGCTGGCAGATAAAAGATGGTTGTTTCTTGGTGTTTGAGGGTTTAATCTCAGGAGCAATTTATTGAAATCGATCTCTCTGTACCCCTAAAGACAGATCTTATGGAAATGAAATATTTCTGCCTACCGCAGCAAGATAATTCTCTGTGGCTCAACAGATGACTGAGCTGCTCTGGGATGAGCCTGTCCGTGCCTCCCATCTTGAACATTAGTGCCCCATACACAGGAGGACAAGTTCATCTTCCTTATCCTCATGCCTCTCTTCCTGTGTCTTTGGATTCATCCCCACCCCCACCCCATCTGTGTTTCACCCTCTTTCTCAAGGACTGGAATTGTCTTCTTGGTTTGCTTACATTCATCCCGGCCCCTCCGATCTGTTTCCTGTCCTCCAAATGAGTGTAGGCTCTGCATGCCGATCTAATATGTTCAGCACCTATAGCTCCCTGTTCCTCTACTACCTTCTTTTTGCTGCGGAAAAGTAGGGCCCCAAAGCATAGTAAGGCCCATAGGCTCCCGAACTCTCCGCAGGCCAATTACCCCCATCCTTGCCTTCATGTTCTCCCTGTGCCGGCATTGCTGCATGCGCCCTGAAAGGGCCCTGGAAACGGCTGGGCTGCGCCACCTAACGACAGCCTTTGCACAAGAAGTCTTCCCTCTGGGAAGCTCCGCTTGCTGCTCCCCACACCTCAGAGTTAGAGGCCCAACTGTGCTCGCCAAACCAGCTCTACACAGAGTCCAGGAACACACGCACAGACAGACAACATGGTGGTCTTGCTAAAAGCCCTCACCTGTGATGTTCCTTGCCTTTCTCTCAGGGCAGGCACTGTGGATGAATCAGTAGCGGAGGAGGGGGAGGGAGGTAAAGAGAGTGAGCCAGCCGAGCAGGGAGGGGAGGAGAGAGCCTGTGTCAGGATGGCCTACCGGTAACCAGAGCAAACGATTCAGTAAAGGTTCATGACAGTCTCTTTAAAATATACACGTTGTAAATATAAACTTGATTTACATTTCATTCAATGCATCCATTCTTTTCTTACTTCTCAGGGTCTCCGAAACTACTTACTATTGTTGCTGGCCTTCTGCATCATCTTGTCTGGGGCCCTGTGCACGGCTTTTTCCAAAATCTAACCTCTTCACGACAGGACCAGCAGGTGGCAGCAGTGGCTAGAAGAGTCGCTCTCCCGCACGAGGGACTACTGCAGACTGCTAAACCGGCTGTAGAGCAATGGATCTCTGCCACTCTGGGAATAAATGGATAGATGACTGTTTATTCCACAAACATGAGAATGAAGAGAGGCCGTGAAAAGTCCTTCCAGTGAGCTGTTAACGAAGGCAGGACTTCTCTGGGGAGCTCAAAGACAAGCTGCCTTCTTGGATCGCCCTGTCTGAGGGTGCGTATTCCAACAGTGTCTACTTCGCGTTATAATCCAGAAAATAGGATGGATTTTGTACAAAGAAAATTGCCCCCCACATTTATAACATTAATGAAGAGGAGCAGAAGCAAATACTTCGTCGGCTGAGGGAAGAAACGGACTCTCCTTATGGAATTCAGGTTCAAAGATACCAGGGCCCTTTGCTAGAGAAAGTAAATGTCACAGTTGCTAACTGAATGTTTAAAAGGCCAGCTCATTATTTTTAGCCAAAAATTGCTTTGACTTTACCATTGTTCAGCTCTTCACATTGCCTGTCTTTCTTAGATCAAAATATTTTGATAGTTATTCCAGATAAAAATCCATCCCCAGAGAGCAAGTCACCAGCCCTCACAATAAGTAAGTGTGGTATAATTCATGAGCACACATATGGTGCGCATGGTTGCAGATTTGGAGAACATTCTAGAGTTGACAGGAATAAAGGTTTTATTTCATCAGATTCAAGTTAAAGGGAACATGCTCAGTGGACTACTATATTTTTGTTCCTAAAATGCCATTACTTAAAATCCTTTTCATTGGAAGTGTTTTGTTATGATCCTATCTTAAATGACTTCCAGGAGACAAAAAAGCACAGCAAATGTATTGTTTTGATTCTTTAGGAAAACAACCAGCCTTGCAAACACACCGCTCCTTACCATGGCGTCTGCACCCTAAACATAGCAACCACATTTGTCTGTGCCTCTTCTCCATTCTCTCCTGATACTGCAGTACTTGGCTGTGCTAGAGAAACAGAATAAGAGCATCCTTCACCTGATGATGCTCCCTCTGAGTTGTGTGGCTCTGGACCTTAGCATGTCACGCCTCCTGTGATGGGCAATTAAGGATATTATGTGTCTTAAATTCTGTTGTCCGGGGTAGTTCAATCTGTAAGTATGTCCACAAATGTCTTGTTGTCTGACAAACATTCTAAACTTGTTTGCTATTGTTATTACATGTTAATCAAGGGGAAACAAAGCTTATAGATAGAAAAAAATCTTGGAATTTATCAAAACTACTGTCCTTATTACTATCATCCATCCCTATTTGCCTCTCAAATCAGAAATGTCACTGAATCACTAACCCAGACAATATTTGATAATATCTTTTACCCACTTTAGTTTTTACTTGAAATGCCATTATATTATGCTGATATGACTTCTGAATAAATGTCTATGACAGAAAAGCTATTTTTCTCCTTTAGATATATTTTGGAATTGTATTGTGGACAGTGTTTAATTCTTCATGAGATTGCCAATGCATATGCAGGATTTTCAACAGGAATTAAGGACATTGCAAATAAAAAAAAACTGGTAAAAGAAAGAAGAGGGAGGGCCCTTATCCCTTCACCGAGTAACGCCTGCGGTGTTAATAAAAGTATTATGGGGGAAAGAAGCTTTTCAGAAACGCTTACCAAACGGTTACTGTTCGTGGTTATGTTATAGATCTGAGTCCTAGGGCATTCGCTGGCCTTTGCCAGGTTCTGTGTCTTTCCAAACATGAACATGTGGTTACTAGGAAGGGAAGCACTCCCTTAGGAGTGGGCTGGTGAGCCAAGGGGAACGCTCAAAATCGCTGGCTAGAGCCACAGGACCCTTTCTAATTGTGAACAGAGCTCTGGTTTCTTGCAGGGTTTGCGAAGTGTCCGCAGCCTAGTGGAGAAGGGCTTCCAATCCTCTCCGCCCGGCTTCTGTATGTTCATCCTGGTGTAAGTTTGGTGGTGTTGATTGGTTTGTTTTTGTCTCCACTCTCTGCCAGTTCCCCGACAGGAGGAATCCTGTTATCTCTGCTTTGTTCAGCTCGCCCTGGAGGCGAGGTTTTGATTTCCCTGTCGTGTGCAGCAGGATTCTGCGGCTTGGAGCTTTCCTAGTTCTGCTTTCTGTGGCACCTTGATGAAAAGGACAAGCGTGTTTGTACCAAGAGCTCCTGCCATCTTGTGTCCAGAGAGGGAACTACATAAAGTAAAAGCCACCCAAAAAGACTGATCTCCAGATTATGGGACCTGCAGAACAGAGAATAGGAATCCTGGCGTAGCAATACAGCATTTCCTTTGAGGCTCCGATCTTTATTCCTCTTTAACCTCACTTAGTATGGATTTATGATCTTGTTACATCTTTTCATGCGAAGTCATTGAACTGAAGAAAGGAAGTTGTACAACTGTGTCTAGCATAACACTCTCAAAGAACAATTGCTGCTGATCAAAGTGATCCATGTGTATATTTATATAAAACATTAAAAACTAACGTGCCAGTCTCAAAGAGATTGTTTAGGGCAGAGGAAGATATCACATGTTGTGCTGGGGAGTGAAAAGCTGTTTAAATTACGCAATCATGTGAACATACTTAGTGTTTGGTGTTATTTATGACCCTTTTTGTTTTAAGACACATTTTGTATGATTTTGTCTTTTATAAATTTTACTATGATATGTAAATGATTTAAAAGAATCGGAGCTAGGAGACACAGGGCTTCTCTTGGGTCTAGACAATGGAGTTGAGTCTTTGGGTTAGAAATAAGCAAATGTAGACAAAGAAAAAAAAAGCAGTCCTGGGTGTTTGGGTGGCATGAGTCAGCTGTGTGCACAGCTACTTTGTACACTCACCGCTGCCTAAGATGACAGAAGGCAAGTGTAAGCAGTCAGCCTGTTCCCACTCTCACTGCGTGCTCCAGACACCTAAGCTGACGGAAGGCAAGTGTGAGCAGTCAACCTGTCCACACTCTTACTGCGTGCCCTAGACACCTAAGATGACGGAAGGCAAGTATGAGCAGTCAGCCCATTCACACTCTCACTGCATGCTCCAGCACATCTCTTTGTAAGCTAATGCATGGGCATGTCTCTGTCAGAAGCACTAGAAACATCTCCTTTTTAACCACAGGGCACACTGAGAATGCACATTTTCCCTGTGTCTGTGTCTGTGTGCCTGCCGGCCTTCCTACTCCACCAGAGCTCACACTCCACTCAGACCCCATATACCATGCTTTCGAGTATCGCAAATGTCTGAATGCACTTGGGATCCACTGTTGCGTCATCAGCACTGTGTTGCTGATGAGAGATCGGCCCCATCTCCAGCATCACTAGCTTAGTGAAGGGTCTTCAGACCCATTCCAGCCCTCCCTAAGGACATGAACATCCTGGTTTCCCTAGACATTCCTTGTCATTTCCCCTCACTGATGTAAATCGTCGATAAGTCATTGAGAGATCAAGAGAGTTTACAATCTCTTGGTGAAATAGTCCATTCACAATAGCTTACACCCTATTAATACAGTGTCTGAGATCTATGAGCATGGCAAACTTTTAACCTTCTGTAATCATCCCAGAACAAAAGTGGGCCAGCAAGATGACTGAAGAGGGCAAAGAAAGGGGCTTGCTGCCAAGCCTGAGTGCAATGCTTCAGACTCACGTGGCAGGAAAGAGCAAGCTCCCACGAGAGAGTGCATACAACCATAAGAAGTGTGCAGCTGAGAACTGGACATAAATATAATTCATGTCTACAGATAAAAGATAGCAAGCAGGTTCTGATATGCTAATGAGCCATGATGGGAAACTTACTAACAACAAGGAATAAGACACCAACACATGCAATGAAGTATTTGATCTTAAAATCCATTAGGCAGAGAGAAGGGGGGAAAAAGCCCCAGTTCTTCCCAGGCTGAACATCCAAAGGGGAAAAAAAGCCCTAATGCTTATCAGGCTGAGCACTGTCACCTTGTGTGAACTACAAGGGGTTACTGTGAGCACTAGAAAGCTGCAGAGCTACCTCAACACTGACTGCTCTTCCAGAGGTCCTGAGTTCAATTCCCAGCCCCCGCACGGCAGCTCACAACTGCCCACAACTGCAGTCTCATGAGATCCGGTGCTCTCTTCTGGTGTGCAGACGTACAAGCAGACAAAGCACCCCTATTCTTAAAATATAGAAGTAAATCGAACTCTAGAAAATAAGAATTGCAGGGCCTCGAGGCAAGTTCAAAGGGAAGGCAGGTGAAGTCAAGATTTCCTTCACGACTATTGTTCGCTACTCGCTAAATGCCATGTGTGTCACTCTCTTGCGGATAAAATGGGCATCTGCTGAAAAGATGTCCTAGCCGTCCAAAGGACAGCGTGACTCTCAGCCTGATGCAGCCTGATGCCTTGCCGCTTGCAGTCGCTGCCAAAGACAGAGACGCTTATGAAACTCTCCCATCTAATATGAGTCATTCAGCTTTCATGACTGTGGAAAAATCCATCAAACGGTTAAAGTGAGTTATTCTCCCCATATGAGGTACCTTTAATTTTTAATGACTATTAATCACGTAGGCAACCAAACAATGCAGTTTCACGTTTGACCACCAGAGGACAGTGTATGCCTGGTAATTTGGGGCCCTCTCACAAACTGAGCATCCTCCGCAGGCCGCCTGGCTCCTGCACCTCCCCTCCTTCACAAACCTCCCCTCTAAAGAACAGCGCCTGTGCCAAGAGCACGCGGATCTTTAAGTCACTGTTGCATCATTTGTATCCTCGCGGTGCCTCGAGCTCTCCATTCGCCTTCTGTCTCTCCGTGACTGATTTCATAATCCTCTTGTTGGTGTTTGGACTTCATCATTTAGTGTCCCAAAAGTTGAAGACATCACCACTTTGTTTCAGAAGTATTTAAGTGCAGAGTGTGCTCTTGTCCTAGAGAATCCAGGACGCGAGAGTCTCCGCAATGGAGGCCACCAGCACCAGGGATACAGCTAAGCCACACTGTTCTCTGACCTCATGACACAGCATCCTTACTGACTCATCGGGCTGCGTGGCCTCAGTTTTCTCAAAGATGCACGAGTAATTCTTTAGCTTAATTAGACGCTTCAGGTCACGGAGACCTGGAACGATTTGCCCTGTTATTTTTGAAGGCCTTTTTCCAATAAGAGGCTGAGATGTTTTCCCAGTGGGCTCATTAAGTCAAGCACTTGCTGTAACTACATGTCCAGTGAATGTGGAATCTTACAGACAACTCTCCCTGGCAGACTGGGTTAAGAAGGTATGTTGGCCCTCCCTTTCTCCTGGGTATGGAATTATACTGGGCAAAGGTGATGTTCGGTCATGAGACTGTGTTTATTTCGGCTCTGAAACACCTAGTGGAAAATCACAACACAAATTCTACTGGAGACAGGAAGCTGGACATATCTGACATCTCAGATCAAAAGCCAAGGTGCTTTGCAGATTAGCCTCATTTACAGGCTTAGAACCCTGCCCCACATTTAGATATTTCTAAAACTTAAAGTAATATTTTGTATATACCATCCTGGCAATAAATCTGTTCACCTCAACATAAGAAGGAAACGTATTTCCTAACTGTGAGGTGAGGGAACACAAAATCAGTCTCACACTGTATTCTAACAGGTGGATCTTGGAGGGAGGTGGAAAACACAGTCAAGTATCATATTGGACACTTACATACCAGAAGGACTTTTCGCAGGCGGCAGACAACACATGCCACGCTAGTAGTTCTAAATACATCTCTTTTCACTGGCCGTTGCAAAAATTGTAGATGTCCAATCACGTAGGAGGAACTTTCATACAGAATGAAATGAATGTTTCTCCCTGAAAAAAATGTTTCAAGACTCCAAAGTCAAGGACGAAAATGTAATTTTCTCAGGTTGTGTGCAGTCTTCCCTGACTATTGGTTAGCTCCCTAACTCTGCTCGATCAAGCAAACTTTCTTTTTTTTTAAATTTAAATAACATTTTTCATTTATTTTACATACCAATCAGTTTTCTCTCCCTCCTCTCCTCCAGTCCCCTCTCCTTTCCAATCTACCCGCCTCCCCATCCACTCCTTTTCCATCTCCATTTAGAAAGGGACAGGCTTCAATTGGGGGAGGGGGGGTGGGAAGGCAGGTAATCCAGCTTGCAGAACAGGCTACCAAAAGCCAGCTAAGCACCAGGGAGAGGTCCCGCTACACAATTCTTACACACGTGCAGAGGGCATATGTCAGTCCCATTCAGCCTCCCTGACCAGGGTCCATGAGCTGCTGTGAGCTGAGGTCAGCTGTCTCTGTGGTTTTCCTGCCCTCTCCCATCCCCCCACACTCTCCCCACCCTCCACCCACACCCACCCTGCATGTATAACTTTCCTCAAGACTCTCGGAGCTCAGTGCAGTGCCAAACAAACTTTCTAGAAATGTCTTCGAGAAGACCATCAGGGACAAAGTGCCCCAATCCCTTGTCTAC